GATCTTCTCTTATTTCCCCTAAAGGCCTGCAGGCCCTGTTGTAAGTGAACTGTGTCAAATTAGTGTCAAGTTAATGGCATTATGAGCAGGGTGGCAGTGTGCCTCCGGGGGCCCCCATCACTGGCTGGCCCCAGATGTGAAGCCTGCCTTATGGATGCAGTGTGAGTAGTCCAGTCTCTCCAGTTTCCCACCAGTCCCCAACATCAGGGTAAATGAGCTACAAAAGCCACACTGCTCCCCAATGCTCCACCAGGAATGTTAATTGTTCTTTTGTTGCAGGACAAACAGAAACTCTGTGCATCAGCCCATCTGGGAAAAATCAAGTCAAGTGGCTTCACTGCTCAGCACAAAGTCTGCATTTGGTCTGTGTGGACTCTTTAAGGCTTCAGCCAAGTTTTAACGCCATAACAGAAAAACTACACTCCATTATATGATCTGCCAAGACTAAGTGTAGGCACCAACACACAGTTTTAAAGTATGATTTTTTTTATGTACTTTGTCCTCTGACATTCAGCGGAGCAATTTTCTGCAAAAAATAAAAACTTCATGTAAAGTTTTCCTTTTTTCAAGTAGCTCACTTACCTAAGATTATTTTAGCAATGATTGATGTCAACATTAAATAACTTATAATAAAGATTAAACATAACCACAACAACAACAAAACCATGTCCTTTTAAAGTATGATCACACTGTTAGACTTTGGTTCTTGTTACCATTGCTAACTCTGAGAGACGAGACAGTCCAAGTAACTTCAAAACAGTGCTGATTTATTCAAAGGATCACAGGCAAAATTAACATTACACGCTCAGGTATCTTGCACCTCCAACCTGCTCGCAGGCAGATGTAAGATGAAAGACCCTGAACCCACCAGGCCTATACATTATATCCCCTCGGTTGGGCTAGCCCCATACTACACAGAAACATCAACCGAGACGTCTCTGGTGCCAGCTTTGCAGCTGGTCATAGCAGTAGTCAAAACATGGAGCAAATCAATGTGTGTGTGTCTGTTGATTAAGTGGTGTGTAGCTAAAAACATTCTCACACGACTTCTAGTACATGTTGTGACATTAGACATAAGAACATAATATGGCTAAGGCTACAGTTATACACATCATAATAATAATATTGAACACCCTGTCTGCTGACAGTCATCAACTCTTCTCTCTAGTATCCTTGACCAGATGTACCCTGTAGAAACTCATAAGCATGTCTAAGCATTTAACAGTCTAACTAGACATCCTATCTCCACTAAACATTTCTAATACATAAAGTATCTATCCAATTTCTATCTGACTAAAAATACCTAACAACACACTGGCAACATTTCCACCTCATGTAAACTGAAAGTAAACAACTAAAATTAGAATAAATGAAATAATACAAATGTCCTAAAAATTGAAGGTAAATTAATATTTAATTTTTTCCAAACTTTCAGATCACTAACACGCTCCTTTACAAGCTGCCAGAATTTGCTCAAGCATTGTAAACAAATAAATAAATATCAAAACAAGGCAACAGCAACATTTTATGGGCTTATTTGATAAATGAAGTATAAAGTAGTGTTTCGAAGTACTTTAGAGATTTAAAAATTATTAAAAGACATCGAGAATAAAAATAAACTACACTAAAATAATGCAAGTACCCATAGGGAAATGTCTTGTTAAGGACCCAGCAGTGAGTAATCGTACAGTACAACAGCATTTGAGTCAGTGTGCTTAGTTACTTCGCTCCTGTGCCCATCTGTGGGAGTCACATGTGATGTTCTAAAATGTCAAGTAATCACCATCACATCCATTCAAAGCCAGAAGAAATGCCTAGTCTTCTATTTCTCCACACAGGCTGTTAAGTCACATTCACGTTTGGCTTTATTATGTCCTCTCCACTGACTTCATTGTTGACATGTTTGTGTGAATTTGTGCCTCTGAGAGTTAATGTGCACCACACGACTGCTGAACTCTGTCTAAAGGTGTGTGAAGACGAGCAACCTGAAAGAAATCCTGTCATAAAGTCTCAGTCACTGCTCTGACTTGCAGCCTCCCATCAGCCATCTCTCTCTGTGAGTGCAGTATCTCCCGATTCCCACACTCTGCACCTATTCACTGGCCCTGAGACAGGAACAATAGAAGTGTGTCTTGTTACACATCACATTAGCTACGGTGTTTGATCTCCTGTTGAAGGGGGAGGGGAGACCGCTCCAGCCAGACCATCTGGCCTGGCCAGCTAGACCCTGAGAAAGTCCCAGGCATGCCGTACTCTTCACAAACCTCTGCCCACACAAATAGTTGTGAAAGACTTTTGTGGTACTTGAGACATGATTCAAGCACTGGACAACATACCACAACCACCACAACAGAAGTGGGACATATGACATGCAGGAGTGTCTCCTGGTGTTTAAACACCTGTGTGCCAGTAAGATAAGATGATGCTAACGGTCCCTGTGGGAAATACTGAATGAATAATAATAACAACAGCAATCATAATAATACAAGTGAAAAAGTATGACATACCAAAGAACAGCTGCACAACCACCTGCAGTGAAATTTGTTTTTCATATCAACATTTCCCAGAATAATGTTAATGACAGTTTTTAAACATAACTGATACAATTTTGAGGTACTGTACTTTGATTATTTTCATTTTCTGCTACTTCATACTTTGACTTCACTACATTTCAGAAAAAATATTGCATTTTGTACTCACTATATTTATTTGATAACTTCAGTTACTAGCTACTTTTCAAAATGAGGTTTATAAAACAAAATACAGTATAATGACAAGATTTATTGATCCTTGGTGTAAAATTGACAAGCTACCCAGCAGCTACCCAGCAGTAATTCAAGTTATAAGCATATAAAGTAGTTAAAATGAGCTCTTCCTTTATCGGTTGTAACATTAAATTTGTTGTACACAATAATACATCAATAATTATAATTGACTAATATGAGATACATTAATGTAAATGGTGACATTTTGCATAATGAGTACTTTTACTTATGATTGTTTAAGTATATTTTATGATAATACTTTTGTACTTCTAGTTAAGTAACATTTTGGATGTAGGACTTTTACTTGTAACAGAGTATTTTTACACTATGGTATTGTTACTTTTACTTAAGTAAACAATCTGAGTCCTTTTCCACCACTGACTAAAGCTGAAAAATGTTCTTTAGCAACAAATCACTGCCTGTCAAAACACACTACCTGGGCATCTAGATATTATTATGTTGTCTGCACATTAGTAACAGAATAAATACAATTTTGTTCCATTTTGTACCAGTGTACCAGAGAATACCAAATGTGTAAATGTGTTCAGCATTACTGTTTAAATGAGAGACACCTCCAATGGAGTTATGTGCACAGTCTCTGCCACAGTATGTCTAATTCTGACAATTTTTTGATTCTAACTAAACAAAATGAAAGCTGTATTTTCAAAAGCATGAACACACACACACACACTTACTACTGACTCAGCAGAAAGGAAAACAAAGTGAACATGCACCATCACCTATACTGACCTGACAGGCTACTCAGACTGTTACAGGATTCAAACCTGGTCCCTGAGCAAGGTCCATGAGTGAAGCTGATGTGAGAAGTAAGGCCATGAGAGAAACATGACTCCATTATATGATTTTTCGAGACAAATGTATATATGATTTTTTTGTGTACTTTGTCTTCTGACACTCAACACAGCAGTTTTCGACAAAAAAGCAAAAACATCACTATTGTTCATGTCTGCAAAACTTCGTGTGAAGTTTTCCATTTATTTTTTTAGTTCAAAGACAAACTTCTCAAAGAAGTAATTCATTCAAATTCTTTCAGCAAAGACTGATGTCAACATAACATGCCTTTATAAAAGGTTTTCATGTGAAGATACACAAATATCTCTTATGAACATCACAATTGAACAGTTAACAGGTAAAATCTCAGCAGTACCACACTTTCAGAAACAGACCAAATAATGGTTACAAATAGTTAGAATAAAATCTAATCATAATGCGATTTACAGTAAAACTGGATCCATGGGATCCATGTTGTTGATTCATCATCATCAAGCTGATGAAACTGTCAATTAGTGATACTCGGTATCAAAGACAGACATTTCATTAAAACTGTCTCAAACACTGAAAACATTTCAACCCAACATGGGTCTTATAAGAAGATAATTCAGCTGTTTGCAAGCTAAATAAAATCTAGTTTTCCAACAGGAACAATAAACACAATCACAGAGTAAAAACCCTATATTACACAATATATGATGTGTATACACATGGTGTACATATTCAGTAAAACCTGAATCATTTCAGTCCTTCCTAAGGAATACTGGCACGCTGTGCCTTTTCACCCACACTAGCAAAACACTAAGAAATATTCAATCTCCTGCCAAAGCAAAAGGAAACAGACTCCAATGAGTCTTCAACTTTCTGTCCATGACGTTCACTGATGTAGCTCTCGTTCTCTTTTCACGCTGCCTCCATCCTACCAGGGTCTCCACAGAGCACCGCCAGCCTGGCTCACACCTTTGTTGGAGTTGACCTGATGGAGAGGAGAGCCAGGAGGGGAGAGGGTGCAGGGACTGTGGCTGGACCTGCCGGACGCCTGCAGGCCCTGGAAGTGGCTGATCAGGCGTCTGTGGGCCTGGGTCTGGACCTCGCAGTGGGCCAGGAAGCTGATGGCCTCCTGTACACAGCGGGAGTAGCCGTCGCCGGCTGTCACCAAGCCAGAGGCCATGCTGGCACACTGCTGCTTCTTCTGCTGCCAGCTTCTCAGATAGGACACAGCCATCTCCAAGATGTCTGCTTTCTCTTGCTTGGAGTCAGGCTGCTGCCTGAGGAACTCTGGACCCAGCAGGGATTTCAGCTGCTCAATGCTGGTGTTGATGCGGTCTCTGCGCAGTTTCTCCACCATTGGCTTTCTAAGCTGAAGAAGAAAAAAACCCAAAACATTTAGTCCACTTACAGACTGGAAACATTTTCATAATATATGAACGCTTTTCATCAAGAGCATTAAGAAAGTATATAGAAGGACATCTACCTTATGAGCAGGAGTCAGGTGTTCTTTAGAGTAGCTTGCTTGTCCAAACACAGTGGGTGCCATCGCTGCAGTCAGAGTCACTCCTGTTCAGTCTGAAGAGCCAGTTGAATCTGAGCTGCCTTCTCTTCTGCCCCTGCCCTGTATTTATACACCCAAATCTCCATATGAATGTGTGGGTCTTGGGCTTGTTGGAGTTTCTCACAGTCCCTGGGCCAATGAGAGCACTGGGAAGGGCTTTGAGGAACGCGGGGCTGCCACATGCTCAATGAAGTGTTTATAGCTGTGGGTACAATGAGAGTATCTCTGGGGAGCAGGTGGAGGAATAGATTGTGAGAGAAAGAACCCAGGGTGGAGAGGGTGGGGGGTGTAGCTGAGAGACTGACCCAGTGCTTGTGTTGATATGGGAAAGTGGTGACCCCAGAGGGAAGCACGCCGCTGTCCCCTGTCATCGCCACCGCCACGTAATTGAGCACAAAGTGCCTCAGCCACCAGGCACACGTGGGTGTTACATAGGGCCAGCCATCTGAAAAGACCTATATGCTGCCATTTTGACCAGTTTGAGATGGAAGACTTCCTTCATACAGCGGTGCAACAGCTGAGGCTGATAGAAAAAGAGCTTCTCTGCAAGTTTTACAGCTTAAAAAATCTGCTTGATAAGGAAAGGAGAACATGTCCCCATAACAACTAGATTTTTATGAGCATGTTATTATATAAATCAGGAGAGATTTTTGAGTTTCTGTTTTGTCTGTGCATGTCTGACCGGTATGGAGTGGGCAAAGTGATGTCAGGTACTTTCACAAATCATAATTATCCAAAATATCTGTTGGAAAAAACCTAAGCATACAGATTTCCTGTACAAAGAAATGTGATCACTGACATCCAAGTTTTCATGCAAATTATTTTGTTAGTTTTGTTTATTAGTGTTATTGTCTCAGTGCTCGTGTTTCCTGCCTTGTTGGACTTTATGTTATGTTGCCATGCTCCCAGATCTCAATAATTATTTTTGTAAATACAATGTTAACTTAACTAAAAATGACATTTTTAAAACTATGGAGTCCTGAGGAAGCAGGTTTGCTGACAGGTTGGGAGTTTAGTGTAAATGACATAGTCAGTTTATAACTAATTATGTTTTTCTTTACTTACTTGTTAATTATTCAGCTACTATTTAATTCAAAGGGGACATATTTTCAGGCACTTTAAAATAACCACTACATCATAAAACAATAAGGGGTTATTTCGAGACTTCTTGATAGTCTTGAGCTATTTGTTTTAGATACAGCTCTAAGCATCTGAACAGCTTCCACACTCCCAGCACATGCTCATGCATCAGGCAAATCCCCACACTCTCATTCACTTTCCCTCATACACACACACACACACACACACACACAGTTGGCTGATCTGGCTGCCTCTGGCCACGTCTCAGTCACACGCTCCCTTCCTGCCTGTTTGGAACGTGGGAGCGACTGTGTTCCCGGGCTTCCCATACTTTAGTGTTAATGACACTGAGGCTGGCTGCACAAAGGAAGTGTGCCCCATCAAACAAAGAACGACACACACACACACACACCCAGGAAGACACGGCTGTCAACAGGGCTTCTAGGCACACCATCTGGACGGATCGTACACTATTGTCAGCCAATCAAGCATTGGAGACACTCACCGTGAGAACTGGAGAGGCTGAAATAGAGACAGAATGTTAGATAAAAAGAAAAGCGTGGGGTGGGGCGGCACAGGATAATTTGATGACTTTTTTAAGTTTGTAAAGGAAAGGGTCTAAAAATCATTTTGTCATTTTGTATGTGAGATAAACTGTTGTGAATATAAATCCACATTACATGGGTGCTGCAACAGAAACATGACTTGGTTAAAAGTAACATGACAAACTAAAGAACTGGCAGTTGTCATTAAATTTGTGATGCGACTCTTACAGCGGCAACTTCTAAATTTATTCAAATACTCATTCAGCTTTTGACATAACACCTCCACCATGCTGTTAAATGCCCTCCATGTAGCACATCCCGGCAGATGTTTTTACCCAGTGTTCTCACCACATACACTCCCAGTCGAGCTAACGAGAATATCTCCATCTTTGTAATGCATCAGCTGAGAGCCCAACAGAGGGCCCCTCCCACCTGTTTGTGTGGATTGAGGCCATGTACCCCATGAATTCAACTTATTCATTCACATGCTATTGTCCTACGATTACTTTGTGATTGGCCAACCCGTGTGAGAACCAGCATAACATTAAAGAAATGGGAAGGCTGGTATGAGTATATAAAGGATGGACTTCTTCATGGGTAAAATCATAACTCTCTTGTACCTGACCCAGGCCTGGACTAAGTGGACGCCATCTGACTGCATAGACAACATGAAGGATCATCACACAACGTAAGCTCAGATGGATAAAACTCATCTGCAGAAGTTTAATTTGCTTATCTTCAGATCATTTCTTTTCTTTAAAATGTTTTTTCATTTAAGGTCATAGGGTCAGGAATGTTTAGCAGTTTTGGTTTTGTATCCAACTTTTGCACCTTTGTGATACAAATATTTGACTCACCAGTTATTACTGAAGCTTTTGACTGACTGCTGGACAGTTGTTGCTGTTAAAGGGTCAGTTCACCCAAATGACCAAAAACATTTTCACACTTGGGCCTAGTTTAGGTTTTATTTGCATGTCTGAGTTTTACTGATGCAATTGATGTGGATTTCCACATTTCCAATCCACAGAATACGCTGAACAACTCACAGGCACTAATCTTCAGTAAAAGGCATAGTCAATGAAAACGTTTCACAAAGAGGTCTGTAAACTACCAGGAGTACCACGGAAACTGATAATGGAAATACCTGCTGCTGTTGAAATTTCTAGGTTGTTCCCTGCTTGGGTGAACCACAGATTCCTTTTACCTCCTTTGGTGCAGCAGCAGAAGCAGTCTCATAAATATCTAAACACGTGAGGAAAGAAATAGCTCAAAAACACTAGTGGAAAGAAAATAAGACTTGTCGTGACTCAACCCTTTACATAGGTCCTATGATTGAGGGCTACTGTTATCAACCCAAGTTAAACCCGCTGTCTGTGTATCCAACATTAATCTGATGTTTGTTGTCCCTGCCCAGGATGTGTAAGATGATGATTTTTGAGAGGAAGTGCACAGACAGAGCGGTGAGACTCCGCACATCCCTGGAGAGCCAACTCACCACTAGAGTGTCTCACTCTGACGTGTGGGACAAGACGGTCTCCATATTCACAGTGAAGAAGGCCTTGCTCTTCCACAACGGCTACACCAGATCCTCTAGAGGGGCCATGAGGCTGTTTCCTTCACCTGCCGAGGATGTGGCACCGCTGTGCTGACCGTGACAAGCAGACACACACATCAATACAAACATGTGGGACTGTGTGTTTGAAAATCTACAAGCCCTGACGCATAGCACATAACGGCACTATGTCAAGAAGTTCCACATTGAAAACATTTTTCAGATGGAAAAATATTTTAAAGCTTTTTTTCCGTTTTAATCTACAAGCCCTGACGCATAGCACATAATGGCACTATGTCAAGAAGGTCCACATTGAAAACATTTTTCAGATCGAAAAATATTTTAAAGCTTTTTTTCCATTTTAAAACTTTTATTTGGGTGTTTTCACCAAGTATATGTAAAGGTAGACTTGATGGGAGTTTTTAATCCATCTATGACCATTTACACTGTGAACTTATTGGCCCTCAAATGGGCGTTAAACTGTGCATTTTATGCCTTAAGCCTTAGTCCTCTTTTAAACAGGTCACTCAGACCAAGTTGTTGAGATTTTGTTCAACTTGAAGCCATATTCCCTTGTATAAAGGGAAACGTTTATGCCAATGCATACTATATTTTGTTAGTTTGTACAGTGATACTTTTACCTGTCATATATAAAGCCATGAGTGATATGTGCAGTATGTGCTTATTTGAAAATAGTTTTGACCGTTAGAAACCCTTATTTCCCCAATGCCAGTGTTTTGACCAGTCACTGTGTTCAGTTTTATTGTTAACAGATTTTGCATTTTGTTCAGAGTTGACACTGAAAATAGTGAACATCACAAACCAGTTTGAATGAATATCGCCCTCTAATGGCCTTTATACGGCAACAACTGGATTCTGGGCTCAACACCTCAGAAGTGCAGGCGAAATTTCCAGTAACACTTTATTTTACAGGTCTGTAATCCCCTGTCTATTTCCAAAAAATGTCCTCAGACTTTTAGTGGAGAGAATCATATAATTTGGAACCAATTACAGGTAAAAATCGGGCTGATCAGTTACTTCTAAATGCTACGCTAGCACAAACTTGAACCTTTTATTCAGAGCACAGGCGTAACATCTTTCTACAAACAACCATACAATTCCGGCTAAATGAAGAATAAAATTTCAAATATTAAATGATATTAACCTCAGTAGATCAACCAAAAAAAAAAATGTTTTTCTATAATTAGTACCAAAATACATCTCTTTCCAGAAAACTCAAGAAATAAGAAAATAGCAGACCTGTAAAATAGTGTTACCAAATTTTTTATAAAATTTTTTACCCAAAATTCTTTTGCTTTTTTCCAAGACTAAACAACTATGAATATGCCTCTGCACAGGACATTTCCATCAGCAATGACAAACTATCATGTTCTGAGCTGAAAAATAAATGTTTTTGTGTATATGCAGATGGGAGTGCTTTTTTTTTTTTTTTTTTTTTTTACTGTCAACAGTAGCTAGAATACAAGACATAACGTTGGATCACTAGTATATCTTACAGCTTTATTAATCATAGGTTAAATTAAAAAAGCAGGTACTCTGCAACAGTTAAACATTGTAGCAGGGATTATGCAAATTAAGAACAAACACTGAACTCCACACCATGCTTTCAACTCTTGAGTACCAAGGACACCACTTTAACTTTGAAAGCTGATCAGTCACTGAAGATACAAACCTGTTCTGGGGATCAACACAGGAGTGTTGCGTGTGACTTTAGGGAAAACCAAAATCTAATTTAGACTGTGTAGAGGCCCAAGAAATAAAGAAACTGCAGTGGAAGAAAAACTGTCAGTCAAAGAAAAGTGGGTTGATGGATGTAATGTATGTCTGCTTTATTATTCAATTAGACAGGTCTGATATTTCACTGCAACAGATGGAATCTTTCACAAGTCCAAAGTTCACTTTGTCACCAAGACATAGCTTTATGGCGAAAAAAAAAACAAAAAACAAACTTTTATTCAATGTTCTTTTCCTCATTTAACTTCTGAGGTTGATAAAATAAACCTTATACATACACACCAAATCAAAAATCTTTTTCCTGTCACCACTCAAATTCCAGTTAGAACCTACATGAAGACCAAACAGCAAAAGCCTGAAGAAAAGAACAGGTTAGTCTGTAACCACGTGACACTGAAACCTTGTCATTTTAAAAAACCTTGACCAAAACCAAATGTAAACAAAACAAAGGTGGAAACGATAAAATCAAATGCCACTCACGATACAGGGCAAGTCAAATCCCAAAACATTTTTGTTGTTTTAACACTGCACCCCAATATTTGGGGCAGGGGGTTTGAAAAGC